TCTCAAAAATAAAATAAAAAATAAAATAAAACTTATTTTGAGCTCTACTGAACCTTAGCAAAACAGCTAAATCCATTTATATGCAGAATCTTCTAGTGCATAGAAAAGCCAACTTATTACATGAAGCCAGCCATAACTTTGCTTTAAAAATACACAAAGGTAGCAAAAGAAAATAAAACAATGGACCAATCTTACTTATACTATTTTATTTGGGATTGCTCATCTATCTTCAAACCAGTGACATTCATTAAAAACATACAAACATCAATCCAAGAAATATAGGATGACTTTGAACCATTAAAAAACTATCATGGCTAGGCCTGGTGGGATGGCTCACACCTATAATCTCAGCAAATGGGGAGGCCAAGGCAGGAGGATCACCTGAGCTTGGGAGTTTGAGACCATCCTGACCAACGCGGTGAAACCCAATCTCTACAAAAAAAAAAAAAAAAAATTGCCAGGCGTGGTGGTATGCGTCTGATTAAGGAGGGGCACTGACTGAGCCAAATAGAGAAAGTGAACATCAAAATGCCTGTGGAGGGGAATATCAATGAGAAGTAGGGAGGTTGTGCCAAAAATTCCTGAAACGTTCAGGATTAGGTTCTTAGAATGTGGGGTAAGGAAGGAATGGAATGAAAACAACAAGATTGGCTGAAAGCCTTTGACTGGAGAAGCTGAACCTCTAAGTTAATCTTCACCATCGCAGTGGGAAATAAAGGGCTTATTTTTCTGGAGTGTTTAAACCAGGGGAGCTCTAGATTCCTGTGTGCCAGTGGAGGACTGAGGAGTAGCCATTTCCTGGAGGGACTGAGTCAGGTTCGAGGGTTGGGGGAAAGATGAAAAAGAAATCTGGAGGCTGAGGCAGGAGGATTGCTTGAGCCTAGGAGTTTGAGACTAGCCTGGGCAACACAGTGAGATCAATATTTCTATCAAAAAAAGACAAAAATTGCCTGCCTCTGCAGTTACAAGTCACCACCCTCAGCCCCAAGACAATTTTTACAAAGAACTGAAAAGTAGACTTGCGCTACCAAATATTAAAACATATTAAAAAGCTATGATAAGTCCAGGCATAGTGGCTCACACCTGTAATCCTAGCACTTTGGGAGGCCAAGGCAGGAGGATCGCTGGCAGCCAGGAGTTCAAGGATGCAATGAGCTGTGATCACATCACTTCACTCCAGCCTGGGTGACAGAGCAAGACCCTGTTTCTTGAAAAAAAAAAAAAAAGAAAAAAGAAACAATTATGATTATAGCAATATGATTTGGGTGTTGGAATAGATAGATTAATTAATTGGACATGTTAGATTAATTAATGTTGAAGTAGACATCATGTTAGAAAAGTATAGAAATTGATCCTTACATATAAGAATAAAGATCAAAATGATGTCTCAAACCAGTAGGGAAAAATAATAATTCAATAAATGATATTGGAAACATTGACAATATACACACTCGGAAGATATCAATTCCAGATGAACTAAGGACAAATCTAATATTAAAAACATGTATATACATGAATGAACTGAGAGAACATGCTGAGTGAAATAAGCCAGGCACAGAGTGATAAATACCATATAATTGCACTTATATGTGTAATATAAAAAAGTTGAACTCATAGAAGTAGAAAATAGAATAGTGCTTACCAGAGGCTGAAGGCAGCAGAGAAGAATGGGGACAAGGGAGAGGTTGGTCAATAGGTGCAAAGTTACAGGTAGATAGGAGTAATAAGTTCTGTTGTTCTATTGCACAGCAGAGAGACTATAATTAATAATAATGTATATTTCAAAATAGCTAAAAAAGGATTTTAAATGTTCTAAACACAATAAATGATAAAAATCTGAAGTGATGGATATGCTGATTAGCCTTATCTGATCATTCCAGAATGTAAAAATGTATCATAACGTCGCATTGTACCCCATAAATATTGTATCAGTCCATTCTCACACTGCTAATAATGACACGTACCAGAGACTGCGTAATTTATAAAGGAAAAAGCCTTAATTGATTCACAGTTCCACAGGGCTAGGAAAGCCTCAGGAAACTTACAATCATGGTGGAAGGGGAGGCAAACATGTCCTTCTTCACATGATGGCAGGAAGGAGAAGTGCAGAGCCAAGTCAGGGAAAAACCCCCTAATAAAACCATCAGATCTCGTGAGAACTCACTAATTATTACAAGAACAGGATGAAGGTAATTTTCCCCATGATTCAGTTACCTCCCACTGGGTTGTTTCCTACGACACTTGGGGATTACGAGAACTGCAGTTCAAGACGATATTTGGGTGGGGACACAGCCTAACCATATCAAATATATACAGTAATTTTTGGTCAATTAAAAATTTTAAAAAACATGTTTATATACTTGGAAGAAGTAAGACTTTCTTAAGTAACACTTGCTTGGCAGCATACTTTATGACTTTTAGCACATTTAGTTTTCTGATGTTTTTTGGTTTTAATCAATAGAATGAAGATGATAATAGTAGAATTATTGTGAAATTTACGCTGATCTGGCAGAGTATAAATCTCATTGGTTACATTAAACTTTGTGGTTTAGTAGTTGTATTCAATTCTGTATAACCCAGTCGCCTGGGAGTGCTGAAGTTTTATTTTTCCTGCTGCTATTAACAACATATTTAAGTCTAATGTGCAGAAATTCTTCCTATGCTAATTCCTTGATCTCAGCACCTCTAGCAGTGACAAGAAAACTTTCTCCTTTGACATTTTTGACAAGTCCTTAACCACTGTCATGACTACTTGTGAATATCTGATGATATATGTACAAAAACAGCAAAACATCTGTAAATTCTGAATATCCTTTGATTTTTCTCCTTTTGACATCAGTTCCCATCAGAAGAAAATTACTGGGTTTATCTAACTTGGTGGGTCATTTTCAGGATGAGCTAGTGGGTGAAGCCTCTCTCCTTGCCTGCCTGTGCTCCCTCCAACCATCCACAGTAAGGAGTGAATGCTTTACCAAGCAGAAGTTAAAAAAATACTTTGCCAGGCATAGTGGCACACACCTGTAGTCCCAGCTACTTGGGAAGTTGAGTCAGGAGATTGCTTGAGCCCAGGAGTTTGAGGCAGCAGTGAACTATGATTTTACCACTGCTCTCCAGCCTGGACAACCAAGTGAGGCCATGTCTCTTAAAAAAAAAAAAGTTAAAAATATTAAGGTCTTTTTATTTCGTTTGAACAGCAAGGTAAAAATACAAAAAGTTTCTCATTGGCAAAACTGTCCTACTGGTGGATTGGCTGTTTTGTCCCTTCTCAGATGACTAACTCCATAACAAAGTAATTGTACCTCTAGATAGAGACTCAGTTACAAGTGAGAGTCCAATTCAAACTAACCCAAGAAAATTCCTAAGGGAATTGTCTTGAGTAGCTGGAAGGTCTGAAGTCAGCTATAGCTTCAGGCCCAGCTGGTTGGCCTGCACTGCGAAGGCTTGGCCCTACCTGAACTGCGCGAAATGGGCTCCCCCCAGGAAGAGGGAGGGCCTCTTCGCAGGGATAAAGGAGGAAGGTGCTGAGCTAGCAAAAGTGACAGCTGTCCACAGCAGTAACTAAAGATGTTTCCTAGTTCAGCATGTAGCACATATGTTGCCTATATTGTCTTTTCTCCCCAAGGTTATTGTTAGAATCAAGGGATTGCAACATCACAGCATTCTTGCTTGGTCATGAAGCAGACTGTCTGAATATATCAGCTTTGGTTCCTTTAATGTGGGTCTGTAATGAGGCTGGGAGACAAGTGGCTGGTTCTCTTTCTTGCTTTGCCTCTGCACCATTCTATTATGATGGTCACTTTGTAACAATGCATTTTGTTTGTTTTGTGAGTTTTCATTAGGACAGGATAATATGCTGTTTATAAACATCATGAAAGTGTATTGTCATAAACTTTAACAGGATTAGAATGAAAAGTCTTCTAAATATGGTTCTGAGGCCAGGCATGGTGGCATATCCCTGTAATCCCAGCACTTTGGGAGGCCGAGACAGGAGGATCATTTGGGCTCTGGAGTTCAAGAACAGTCTGGACAACATAGCAAGACCTTTTCTCTACTAAAAATAAAAATAAACTAAGAAAAAAATCAGCCAGGCATTATGGCATGTGCCTGTCTGTAGTCTCAGCTAATTGGGAAGCTGAGGCTGGAGGATTGCTTGAGCCTGGGAGGTGGAGGCTGCAATGAGCTGTGAGCACACCACTATACTCCAGTCTGGGCAACAGTGAGAACCTGACTTAAAAAAAAAAAAATATATATATATATATATATATGTGTGTGTGTGTGTGTGTGTGTGTGTGTATGTGTGCATACACACACACATGTGCATATATATTTTTTACATATATACATATATTTTGTATGTATATATTTGTATGTATGTATGTATGTATGTATGTGTGTATATATACAGTTCTGAGCGTCATATTCTTACGCCTGCAGAAACTGACTGAGGCCTCATCATTCCTGTCAGAAGGTCTAAGTGCAGCACTTCTTGATTCATGGCCTGTTCCAATTGCCCTGGATGTCAGCTGAAGGGCTGGGTCTCCACTGGTGGGGAGTAGAGGAGGCCTCCAGGCTCTCAGGGAAGCAGAATCTGACTGTTCTCCACTGCAGGCCTATAGTCAGGGCTTGCTGGCAAAGCTGACATACTCGGCCCACCCCTAGGGCTCCGTATTTCTGCCTTCTCCAATTCTCTCTGCTCCAGGAGAGGCTCAGGCACCTTCCAGAGTGTTTTGCTACATGTTAGGTTTGTCTGTCCTCTCTCCACTCTCCCACTCCCGCTGCACACCCAGCCTCTCCCCGCCAGCCATTAGAAAGCTTTGTCTCAAGGGCAGTAGCAGGAGCATGGCTCTTGGTAACCATAGGCAACCATGAATTCCTATTAGCTATTTGTGCTATATTTGTAAGGCACATTCCGGCCACTAACTGGGTAGACAGGAAAATGTGCTTTAAAGGTTTTCTTGTGCAGTAAGATCATCTCCCTGTTTTTTTCTCCTTTTTTGCAGAATGACCAATCCATGGGTGAGATGCAGATAATCGGAGGCGATGATCTTTCAACACTGGCTGGAAAGGTTTGTTAATGTAACTGTGCTCAGGTCGCATTGATGTCTGGGGGCATTGCTGACCTGCATTTCAGGTCAGCACTCACAGGACATTTCAGATCCTCTCCCGGGTTTTCCAATTCATACAGATGGCTGTGTGAATCCTTTTAATGATCTCCCCTTTCTAAAACACTCTTTTTAGAATGCTTCCAAGACACCATGCAGACCAAATCTTTCTTCTCCACGCTTCCTTCCAATCTTATTTCAGACAGCAAAACCCCTTTGCCCACCTCGTTCTAATCCTTTTCTACTCATCTTTCCAGACACCCTCTGAAAAGGAAGCTTTCTCCTTTATTTATTCATGCCTTTTTTCTCTCATTCCTCCTCCGCACCCAGGCACTTCAGTAAGACATTTAAACATGTTCATTGAAATGTACAAAATCTGGGGAGGGAAGAGAAAATGACTTCTTAAGAGTGCATTTCAGCACTTTGCCTTTTTTTTTTCTATTAGGAAGAATGTAAACTATTAGATAATAGGAAGAACACCTCCAGTTTTAACTGGGAGTTCCAAATCTGCCAGTGCTTAATAATTAAATGAAAAGACTGTTTAGATTCTGACATAAATAAACTAGAAAGATGGGTTGTTTCCTAACGGATATGATGTTTGTGGAATGTTACTTGAAATGCAAGTTTGCTGTGCATAAAAGCAATCTGGAATTTGTTTTTGTTCAGCTGTACTGACCTAGCTTGTATGTCTTATCCCTGAACAGCTTCGGCTTTCTAAGTAAAATGGATCAGCCTATTACACAAGCTTCATCTCTCATTCTTGTGGTTGTTATTGTTATGCAATGCCCGGTAGGGAAAAGGAATAGCAGCCACATTTAATAAAAATATGTGGAATAATCTTAGGATCATTATAGAGCCCCAAGGACTCTTTTTTTTTTTTTTTTTGAGACAGTCTTGCTCTGTCCCCAGGCTGGAGTGCAGTGATGCAATCTCAGCTCACTGCAACCTCCACCTCCCAATTTCAAAAGATTCCCCTGCCTCAGCCTCCTGAGTAGCTGGGATTACAAGTGTGCACCACAATGCCTGGCTAATTTTTGTATTTTTAGTAGAGACGGGGTTTCACCAAGTTGACCAGGCTGTTCTCAAACTCCTGACCTCAAGTGATCCACCCGCCTCGGACTCTGACTACAAAATAGCATACTCTCCTTTATTCTGAAGACAGCATAGTAGACCTAAGTGTTAAACGGCTGTCTAGCAGTAAATTGTGTTCCATAAAAATCAGAAATAACTTGCTGATGTTAATGCATCACTAAGCCATCATTTGATGTTACCGTTACATTAGTGCATAAACAACATCCTAGAAAGCTAAAATACTCAAAGTAATTTCCAGAAATTCATAAATGTTATCGACCCCAGGGTGGTGTTTAAATAATGCGTCATTTTAGCATTTTATTGTAGGACACTGCCTTACAGGTTTATTTCACAAAAGAAATAGCTTACTTGCACTTTTGCTATGGAGTCTGTCAAAGTGACAACTCTAAGATTCTCAAATGAATGCCAAGAAGAAATTTGCACATAGACAGCCAGGCATGGTGGCTCATGCCTGTAATCCCAGCATTTTCAGAAGCCAAGGTGGGTAGATCATTTGAGGTCAGGAGTTCAAGACCTGTCAGGCCAATGTGGCGAAATCCTGTCTCTACTAAAAATACAAAAATAAACTCCAGCTACATGGGAGGCTGAGGAGGGAGGATACTTGAGCCCCAGAGTTAAGACTGCAGTGAGCTATGATTGCACCACTGCACTCCAGCCTGGGCGACAGAACAAGACTCTGTCTCTTAAAAAAAAATTATTTTTAAATTAAAAAATCTTTATATTATGCCTTATTTCCGCTAGAGCCCTTTCCCCAAGTTGCAGTGTTTACCTTAGGGCTTATTTTTTATTTGCCTGTCTCCCTGACCAGGAAGTCAGCATGAAGTGGGCAGAGACCCCGCCTGGTCCATAACAAATTGGAATAAATATTTGGTGACTGAACAAGTGGACGATCCTCTTATTTAGAAATTAGAAAGAAGTCCTCTATTAATTTTGGGGAAGAGAAGACAAAGCAGAGGGAAAAGGTAAACATAAGCCCACCTGGTCACACCCAAGGACATGCCCACCAGCTGGTTAAGTTGAGAGGTGGACAAAAAAGGAGCAGAGTGAGGGAGGAGCACCCTCTATGTTGAGGCAGAAGGGTTTCCTTACAAGAGATTCAAGGGGAGGCTAGGTGCGGTGGCTCATGCCTGTAATCCCAGCACTCTGGGTGGCCGAGGTGAGCCAAGGTGGGCTGAACACACCTGAGGTTGGGAGTTTGAGACCAGCCTGACGAACATGGAGAAACCCCATCTCTACTAAAAATACAAAATTAGCTGGGCATGGTAGTGCATGCCTGTAGTCCCAGCTACTCAGGAGGCTGAGGCAGGAGAATCACTTGAACCCAGGAGGCGAAGGTTGTAGTGAGCCGAGATCATGCCATTGCACTAGAGCCTGGGTAACAAGGGTGAAACTCTGTCTCAAAAGAAAAAAAAAAGAAATTCAGGGGGACTGAGGAATTGAATGCAATACAGCTGAGGTGGAAGAGTGAATAAAAAATTCACTTAGCTATTAAAATTTCCTTTTCCTTAAAAAGATAAAGGCCAATATGCCTTGGCATAACACCAAGTAACCACCAAAAGTAGCCAGAGCCTAGTTTGAACATCACAACTGTAAGTGTTTGAGAAGCTATTTCTGGCGTCAACAGATCCTGTAGGTAGAGACAATGTACTGTTTGCGGAGTTTTTCAGCTATAGGGGCACTGTTAAAATCCATTTGTTTCTATTCAATAGGTAATAAAAATGATTAGTTGTCACTGGGTTTAGGAAACTTAAATGCCCATTACAGCCCTAGGGGAGGGTTTTCTGTCTGATGGAGTGAGTCTGTTAGCATTTAAGTTATAGTTGCTGCCTTGAAATAGTAGGCAGCTCAGCTGACGCAGTGGCTCATGCCTGTAAATCCCAGCACTTTGGGAGGCCGAGGCAGGAGGATCAAGATGTCAGAAGGTCGAGACAATCCTGGCTAACATAGTAAAACACTGTCTCTGCTAAAACTACAAAAAATTAGCTGGGTGTGGTGGTGTGCACCTGTAGTCCCAGCTACTTGGGAGGCTGAGGCAGGAGTATCGCTTGAACCTGGGAGGTGGAGGTTGCAGTGAGCCGAGATGGCGCCACTGCACTCCAGCCTGGGCAACAGAGCTAGACTCCCTCCCCACCACCAAAAAAAAATAAAAATAGTACACTACTACAATGACTTCTTTGGGTAGCCATTTTCATAAGAAATGAAATACAAGACATGAACAAGGTTAAAAAAAAAAAAAAAAGATAAAGGCCTTCACATGGCCCACCCTGTTCACTTATTCTTCATTCAGCCTCTCCATGAAATGTTATCAATTAAGTTAGATAGAACAAATAAGCTCCAGTATTCAATGGCAATGTAAGGTGACTATGGTTAGCAACAGTGTGTTGTATATTTCAAAGTATCTAGAAGAGAGGACTTGAAATGTTCCCAACACCCAGAAATGACAGTCAAGGCAATGGTTGCCCCAAATGCCCTGACCTGCTCATTAGACATTCTGTGCATGTAACAAACATTCACATGTACTCCATAAATACATACAACATTTTGTATCAATGAAAAAATAAAATTTTTAAAAATAAGAATTGGCAAGATTTTACAAATAAATTTTAGAGGCGCTCCAAAATCTTTCCATC